TTGTACACAAAAATCCAATTTATGACAATGATTTCCAAAGCTTCTTAAGGCAGATAAGGATGAGAAATGGTGATTGAACTTTTTAACAAGAAGCATAGTCCAACAGGAGAACTGCCTTACAGAGTAATGAGCCCCAGTCATTTCTACTTTTGACATGCAAGCTCATTCACCATTTGTCAGGGGGATTCCTGACAAATGATAATGTTACTAAGAATTTTGTACCAAAGTAACTTTTTTGTATAACTTATCCATGAGCGACTGTGCTTTTACAATTTTCCCATATTTATGCCCTTATATATCGAGGCTTAGAGACTGAACCCTATAAGGTTAGGGAGTTAGTGTGAGGTGAGAGAATTGTCTTTATATGTTGAGGTGTAAAATTATAATGGACCATTGCAGAATGTAAAAGACAAGCTCTTCGGAAACTTCAAATATCAGCTTACCGTGTCTTCTTTTAATTTGAGCAATAATGAAATAGCACTGGCCCTTGGCCACTGGGAGTTGATTATTAGAAATACAGTAAGTGAGGAAGATATTTTACTGGCATAAGTTTGGCCAAATGACTGGGCCCGCCCACTACTGATCCTCATATCCATTTTGGCTTTGCAGGAGGGGGACTTAATATCTCTAGTACCATGAACCTGTTTGTCTTCAGCTCTGTTCCCAATACCTTCAGGAGGTTCCCCAATTCCCATTTCAGATAGCCAAGTAACAAAAGTAATCTGTTAGGTTCTATCTCCACTGAAGAAAGGACCTGATATTTAAAGAAACTTAAAAGTGGAACATGGAATAAATTCCTAAAAATAAGATTTGGGAGTCTGTTTAATCTGCTGTCAACAATATTTTGGGATTCTCATCATCAGAATACTTCTTAGGAAACTGGTCAGTCACTTTGGAATAATATGGTTTATTTAAAATCTGAACAACCTGAAAGCATACCATGGAACGAAGACAATCTATTTTAGCCTAAACTACGAGGTTAAGGTTTGTCTGTTTTAATATACAATTTTAGAAGACTTTCTGGAATCTCACTTAATTCTCTAAACACATTTGAAGTTTCCATGGTGATTATCCCCTTTTTTTCATGGGGAGACCAAGGCATAAAGAGGCCAAGTAATTCAGTTGAGCCATGAAGGACCAAAAGAAGGAGCCAGGCTTGAACACAGAGCTCATGCTCTTTGCTAGTTCATGATCACCTATTCTTTTCTTTTCTTTTTTTTTTTTTTTTTTTTTTTTTTTGCGGTACGCCGGCCTCTCACTGCTGTGGCCTCTCCCGTTGCAGAGCACAGGCTCCGGAAGTGCAGGCATGCGCGGCATGTGGGATCTTCCCGGACCGGGGCACGAACCCGTGTCCCCCGCATCGGCAGGTGGACTCTCAACCACTGCGCCACCAGGGAAGCCCCATGATCACTTTTTGGTCTTCCTACCACTTTAGGTGATTTTATTCAGTGACGCGCTAGGAGAGAGGAAGTAGGCAAGGATGGAAAGGAAGTTTAATTTGGGGCTCAGTAATGGTGCCGGCTGAATAATCTTCTCAGTACCACACAAGTTAAAGTATGCCCATCAGTGCTGGAGTCTTCGCTATACAATTTCTTCAGTGTCAAAGATGTCAATTGCAAACCTTGAGATGTGCTGGGAAAGAATTTTGAGATTGCTCTTGCATGACCTCACAACAGCTTATCTCTCAGATTCAACAAGAATGCAGAGGACGAATTGTGAAAAAAACAAAAGCTAAAACATCTTTTCATTTCTCAGATTAGAGTGGTTTAGTTCTCTTCACAGGTTTTCTTTTAATAAAGTGCTCTTAAATCACACACTTCCAAATAATGAAAACATTCAAGTAGGGTAGAATACAAAATGTTTGTATAAATATTCCCTCAAAAATATTAAATTAAATTAAAAGTATCAGGTCAAACAAAAGTTTTGTTTTGTTTTGTTTTATGATAGAGATAATACGTTTTACTCTGAAAATCTTTTTAAGAAGAATTTAAAAATACAAGATAAAAACCATCCACAATTCACTACCAGGAGATAAGCACCGTTAACATTTTCTATTTTAAATATATGTATATATGCATATATATGTATATATGCATATGTACATATAAATGCATAGATACTTGCAACAAAATATCGTGGTGTTTCCACATCCATAAAAGTTTTTTTAATACTATTTTGTGGCAGAATATTCCATCTTATTCCCCAATAATTAATGTCCTTGGCAAGTGTTTGTAATAATATAAACTTTAATGAGCATCTTCCTTTTTAGAATAAGTTCCTAAACATATCATTGCAAGATCAAAGAGTATGGTTCTTTAACATAGATGTATATTGTTTGGTGTATCAATAACCTTGATGTATATTGTCAGGTCACACCCCCCCTGAAAGGTCATACCGCAAGAATAAGACAGTAACTTTGCTTGAACATTAATTAAAACTGGGTATTGTCAGAAAATATACCTAATTATATTGGAAAGGCAAAAAAAAAATTCTGTTATCTCAGTTCTTGAATATCCATGTGTTTAATTTCTACTGAGATAAATATACTTTTCCATTTTGTTGGCCTTCTGTTTCTTCTATGATGTTGTTATTTTCAGGTGCAAAGTCATTGTTTTATTATTGATTAGCAAAAGGTCTTTTCATACAAAGGATATCAAATCTGTATTATGTATTATTTTTTCATGAACTTTTACATTTGCCTTTTCATCTTGTGTGTTGAGCCAAAAATCTTTTCATTCCTATGTAAGAAAAAAGATCACGTCTTTCTTTTATGTATTCTGCTTTTGGAGTTATGCATAAAATGTCCTCTCTACCCCAGTTATATGCAAAGAGTCACCCATGTTCTCTTTTAGAATGTTATAATTTTGTTTTTTACGTTTAAACTTTAACGTATAAGAAATGTATTTTGGTATTTGAAGTAGATACCTAACTTTAATTTTTTTAAGATGGTTAAAAACCTGTCAAAAATCACCTATCAAATAATACATGCTACTCATCACATTTACTGTATATTCAATTCATCTATATCTAATCTCTCCACACACACACATATATGGGCAAATATACCTATATATATATAGATAGCTACATATATTTCTGTGTCTGTACTTTCTATTTTATACCATTGATCTGTCTGTTTCTTCTTGCAGTCGCCACTGTTTCAATGAATTCTTTTACCTTAAAAATACCCCTGATCTATTAAGATAAAGCTGACCTACTGTATTACTCCTATTTTTCCTTTTTTTTTTTTTTTTTTTTTTTTTGCCTAACCATTTAAAAATGCATTTCTCAGATTTTGTTTTTATTTTCTTCGTCTACGGGTCTTATCTTTTAAATAGACATAATATTCTATTATCAAGCATTCTTGGAATAGGCATCTAATGTTTTTCACGGAAATGCCTAGCAGTCAGGCATCAGAATCAAAGAAATCAAAATGCTATTGAATTCTTGCAACAATGATTGTGACCGACATCAGGACTGACCATGTGTGCTGAAAACTCCCTAGTTAAAGCAGAGCAAGGAGCAGGAAGTGAGGTAATGTGAGTGGCTCCACTGTGAGTTCATGGCCACACCCCAATTTATTTCTGGAAAGTGCATGTGACATCTATTCACATACATTGCTATCTTTATACTCTCCAGGATATGACAAATAAAGTAACAGCTCCAAAGGCAGTCTGTTTTAGAAAATTACTTAGAAGAGAGGGTAAAATTAGGTTTTATACACAAAATAGAGGCTCTTCTGAGACTTGGTATAACTTAGGATAAAACAACCTAGTTTTTGGGGTGTTTTGATCAATCAACTTGCTCCATCCACTCTCGGAATTAAGTCCTTCCCTGCACCATGCAGCAGTGAAATGTATGTCCTCCTTATAAACAGATAAAGGTGTACTTTTGGAATAGTTTTCTTGGCGGAACAGATGAATTAATATTGACCCACTGACGCTCTTTTGTCCAGGGGCTTCATGCCTAAAGGTATATAAAGGACGCTTGGCTGAGCTTAGACGTGTAGCCTGTGTCTGGGGAGAAGTGTAGAATTACTTGGCACACACACACAGGGATTTTAGTCAGGGCTGAGGCTGCGTTAGCACCATGTTTTAATCAATCGCTATTAACGTCAAAGAGATCCCTAATGCACAGAGTATCTTGCCTGATTGGCACTCTGGTCCAAAGACTCCATCTCTCCCCGCTTCATTGACTTGTTACAAGGGCATTCCATCCCAGTGCCCTTCCAATCACATTTCCTAGAGAAGAGTATCCACAGGGTATTATAAGTATTTTTTCCTTTTCCTTCAGCGAATTCCAACAGTTAAGACCAGGAATGAGCTGTGAGCACTCACATGTCTTTACTTAATTCTGTTAGAAATATCCTGAAAAACCTCCCTGGCCATCAGATAAGAAGTCTTTTCACTTACTCAAGTCAGAGCATGATCTACTTAATAAAGTTTTGCACTTATCTCCAGAAGGTGGTCTTTACTAATCTGGCTTTCAAGTTGGAAAGAGAGAAGAAAAGTTGATTCTTTGTGGATTCTGCTCTCAAATTTAACCCTCAGGCAGTTAAAGCCTCTTTATCCAAACCAAGTCAGTTGTTTAATGAGGCCCCTTTATAAACACTCCAAAACATACTTTCAAAACAAAAGTTAGAAAGCCTGTAAGATCCATTCTCAAGAAAGATCTCTTTCTGTTCAAAACCCGTCCTGACCTTTTTGTTGAAGAACAAAATAATGTAGTAACAAAAACACAAGTGGCTGCCAAAGGAAGAGAAAAAAAAAAGTTCCTGTAAGGGACTGAAACAATAAATCTCCTCTCTGCTGAACTCCCAAAGGGAGTGTGTGCATTTCCTCCTGTTCTTTATCAGAGCCCCCGAAATAAGTAGGCATGGGCAGTGGCTGTTCAAATCCAGCACACCTTTTCCATTTGCTAAGAAGGCCCTGCCAGGCTGGGAGGGAGTTGTCCCTGCCTGACTCTGGAGAGAAGAGCCACTGTGACGATCCACAGGCACCATGAAACTGCTTCAAGGGACCATACTTTGTCTTCTTCTGTCCAGTCTTTGTAGCGGTGTGGACGACGCAGGTACCCTTTTCTCTTATCGTTCTGACGGTGTGGATCAGAAATCACTAGTGGGCGGCTCTGAGCCTCAGTTTACCTCCAGGGAGCCTCCCCTGAGAAGTGGACGCAGCAGTGCATTTGCTGAGTTGAGTGTGTGTGCATGGACGGGGGGTGCGTGGAGAAGGCTCCACAGAGAGGATGCTTGTTTCCACGGAAGAAAAGTGTTTGCTGCTGCAGAGGCCTTGAAGTGTGTTCCATGGCATCGTAAAGGTACCGGGAATATACAATAGCCTTTTCAGAGAGTAACAATCTGGGGATCAAATGCTGGCTAAAAGTGGACTATTTCTCAAAAATGTGCTCTTTTCAGACATAAGTCTAGAAATAACAAGACTGTCATGTACCGGTGAAAGGCTGTAATCAGAAACATTGCTCTGCAGATGCTGGCCTATATTTGTCCCAACTATCTTTTGGCTCTGATGAATTGAGAGGTTGGATAAAACTGCCCGGGGAAGTGAATCTTAATATCTTGAGGGGTGAGGGTGAGCATGGAAGAGAATCACTTGGTTAAAGTTTATGGATGCTTTGCTGTAGAAATTAACACAGATCTACACATATACGTACAATATTGTGCATAACATTCCAGGGAATTTATAGACATAAAAACCCTACCCATTGACTGCAGGTTCTGAAACTTAGATAAAGGATATATATGCACCTACATAAGCCCTGACTATATTAATGACCAGTTGCAAGAAATTATTACATTTGACTTTGAACCCTTCCGGAGGGATTTACTGTAAGCAATTAGATTTACTCAATATTTATTAGGCTCTCACCATGTATTCAGCAGTGCAAGGAATACAAAAATGAGTTAAGACATTGTCCTTGCCCACAGTGGCAAATGCACTATTGGGAGAAATAAGCATGTAAATCTAACATAAGACAGATTTAATAGGTGCGAAAACTAAAGTACAAACTATCATAAAAGAACACGGTTGGGACACATTGATTCTGGCTCTGAGGAGCCCTGGAAAAAACTCAATTCTAATTTTATTGTGCATGTGCTCTTTTCAAACTTCACTGCTTACAAAATTCCATTTGCAGTGATTAGGTAGGAAAAAATAAACACACTCCTTCTTGAACAATATTTATCATTAATTTCTCAAAATATGCATATAAATTTAGTACAAATGCCCAAACACTGCAAAATCACATACGATTGATTACAATCCATCTGGGACTTTCCAGGGTTAAGCTGCAGTGAGTATAAGACCAGAAAATTTAACTTAGATGAGTTACAAAGTTCTGATTTTTTTAAAATAAAGAATATTTATGAGATGACACAGAAATCAATGCACTAGCTTATAAGCAACCCTTCAGTTTGCATGGGAGAGATAGATAGGGATGGATTACATGAGCAAAGTGGAATAGAATCAATAGAAGTAGCCCACAAAACCTGACTGTAAGGAAGCTGGAAAGGTGAAGGATAACCCAGAGATGACCTGGCAGATTTTTCTATTATGATCATTGTAGGAAAAAACCCAGTATCCTTTAGCTCGTTGGTAATGAGCCCAACCTCTCTATTAATAGTGTCTTCTTTCTAATGAACTATTAACCAAAGTAAGATAATTTCTTTTCTTTTTAATTTAATTTTATTTATTTTTTTATACAGCAGGTTCTTATTAGTTACCCATTTTATACATATTAGTGTATATATGTCAATAGTAAGATAATTTCTTATTTGAGCAGAGACAATGGTTACATAATGACTATCTCCTTCAACCTCTGCCAGGGAGCCTTTGTTAATTTAAGGCAAGTGTCTGTAAAATCTACCCCATTTATCCTAGAAAAAGAAGTGCTGGCTCAGGAGCATAAATTGACCATCGGAGTGAGGCCTACAAGGAACTGGAAGAGATTTTTCCCATCCACGTGTATGATTTTTTTTTGCACCTGGTTCTGCCTGTTTTATGTTTTCCTTCCCAGATACGGTTCAGGAAATGAAGCATTTCCTAAGCTGATTTATTAAGTTCTTTTCCTAACCCCCTGTACCGGAAACACATTGATTTCAAAGCTTTATATGTTCCCCAAGCTTAGAATGCTTAACATATTTCATCAGCAGAGTTGATTACAGGAGTACAGAAGGAGGCATTTCATCTGCCTTAAATTCACAAGTTGTCAAGAAGATCCATGCTTTTTTGCATAGCAATTTATTCCTAAATAATGATCTTTTAGAGAAATTGACTACTTTTGTTTTCCTTTCTGACTTTTTTTGTCAGTTTCAGATTTTAAATAAATACAATATAGTTTTTTGTGCTCTTCGTGAAAACCAAGGAAATCTTTCTGCGTGGCAGTGAGTGACTTTATTACTTGGTGAGCGGTACAATATTTTACAATTTCCAATTTGGAAAGCTGTTCTATTGAAATATGTACGGGAGGTTCTTGAAAAGGAACTGTCATTCTTTCCCAAGGTTTTCTAAATTGTATTTAAAACTGAACAGACCCCTGCGTGGCTTTTAAGCTCCTTTGGCTTTTAAGTCTAGACTGATGAGCTTTAGACTGTCAGGACTGAGAAAAGTTAAATGAAGGATTCCAAGAAAAAGGAGGCCCTGGAAGCAATTTACTTTTCAAGTGCCATTTGTTTTTTGAACTTTACATTAATTTAGGAAAGATTAAAATGCTTTAGCCATCTGTAAGCAGGAACACACATCACTTTATTGGTGTCTGAAGAAGAATTTAATTGCTTGTTGAAATTCATTTGTTAGGGATTGAACATTCAATGTCATGGGGAAAAAAATGGATTGAACACCCTCTAAGACAAACACTATGCTAGACGCTGTAGGTTTATAGCGATCACTGTGACTCAGCCCTTGTCCTAGAAGTGGTGGGGAGAGAGGAGCGCCAAATAGTTACAAGTTTGATTCTATCGTAAGTCTTAAGTGGTAAATAAAGAATGCTGTGGAGAATTCACAACTAGCTTAGTTTTGGGTGTAGGAATATCAGAAAAGCCTTCATATAAAAGTGGAAATTATGATAAACTTTGAAACTTGAAAAACAGGTTGGATGGGTGGGATTTCTTGAATAGGAACTTTAAAACATCAGTATCTTCCAGTCTAGAAATGTAAGGAGGTCACAGATTGGACAGAGGTTAAGTGTTGGAAATATAGCCTCAGGATATGTTGAATACCAGGATGAGAAATACTGACTCAGATAGTTAATTATATTGGATTCTCTAAATGTGTTTGAGCATGGGAATTATATGATTGGGACCATAAACTGAGAAGATTAATCTGTCAACAGGGTATACATTAGACTATTGCAGTCAGGAGAGAGAAAAGCTAAAGAAAATGGTTCAAATGTTATTGCAAGTCTGAAAGTCTGTCAATAAAATGAAAAGAAGGGTCTAGGGAAGAGCTTTAAAGAAGTAGGAGGTTTGTGACTTGCCATATTATTGACTGGCTGTGAGAGAGATAGTGACTGAGATGTAGAGTGTTATTTGAATAATAGAAGTAGGGAAATGGATTGGGACCAGACGTATGGAAAGATAGGAGGCGATGGTTTCGGGAGAAAATGATGAACTTGATTTTGGACATGGTGAGTTTGAAGTCTTAATAAGATATTCAAATAGAGATGTCCAATGGTAGGTTAAAATTGTCTGGTTGGTAGATGGAATGCCCCTGGAGGTGATGGTGGGGGATGACTGTTCTTTACACTTGTCTGCCAAGAGTTTTTAGTCCTGTCCTACTCACTGGAAGACTAATAACATAGCGAAGCAATGTATTTCTCTGCTGGATGCCCATATTTGTAACTCTCTTATGGCACTTATTTTCCAACTTTATCTTAGTTATTTGTGTGCATATCTTATCTCCTGTACCAGACGATAAGCACCAGGAAAATAAGGGTCATATTTATTATAGTCTGTATAGTAACAGTTCTAAACACATAATAAGGATATAATAAGCTGAATGAATGCATAAAAATGAATGATATCGTTGCCTATTCATTTTTAATTTCTTCCTCTGATAATCACTTTTTGTTTACTACCTTATCCTTGTGAAAGAGTTGTGGACAGGTATGAATCACAGAACATAACATGAAAACAAGTGGAGTATTTTGATTTCTGGCTATGAAAGCGTGAGCCAAATATATGGAAAGGGGCTTCTTATCAAAGTAAAAGTCAATTCTCAAACTCCAGCAGAGGAGAAGATGTTGGGGTGGGTGGACAACCTAGTACCAGGTGACAGTAATTTACAGCAAACCTGGACAAATAAACTACTCTGACTATGATCATTGGGAGGAAGAATATCTAAATACAATTGATTCTACTTTTCCTCTTTTGGGTATCAAATACTTTATGTAATATCGTCTATGGTTATAAATATTCAAGGAGAAACCTTATTACCAACCAACTTCTCAAAAATACAAAATGGCTTTTTTTCTAAAAGCAAAGTTCACAGAAGAGAAGTTGGAAGAAAATTAAATAAATATCGTACATCATTAACTCGTGTGTTATTTTAGGTGACAAATGTGTTGCTTCAGAGCAGATTATCTTACTTGTTACTTCCTCTTAGCTTAGTCACTATCAATAGATCTTACCTGAAGTGGGTGATCTATTATAGAAAGAGTGAATCAGTGTGGAAACAAATTCAATGGGAAAAGTTTCCAAGCCTTTTATTTAGCATACTTTCTTTACTACTCTTTTTTTCTTCAATGATCTTTAAAGGTAGAAGTGATCATTCTAGAATTCTTATTTTTAAGAGATTCATAACAGTTGTCACTGGCAAATTGGCAATTTTATCTTGCTGATTGTAATTATTCAGATATTGAGAAAAAAAGATGAACGTCTGAACGTTTCAAAAAGCTTCTAATTTACTGGATAATTGCCCATCCTTTCCTTTTCATTGATGACATTATATTTCAAGCTTCAGGTAAATATTTTAACTTGTGAATAATTATCTAGTCCAAGTTCCTTATATTCTTTTTTTCTTAGTCATCACTTTCCAACTTCCTCTTTACCTCTGAGAACA